GGCCACTGCTCAACCTCAGGTTCATCTCCAATTACTCAATCCCAGTATACTTAACCTCAATAATGATTTGACAGGTCCGATGGCATCGTGATTTGAGCGAAAAAACAATCGAATAAATGTGAAGATGGCATGCTTTTTCAGATGAACAATCACAAGCTCATCAGAAATAACGTGATATTAACTAATCGAATGGGATTAATCTGAAAATACAAGGTAGAACAATTCACTGAAACGTAGTCAAAACTTTCTTTTTTCTCGCGAATACAACAAACAAAATCAAGAAAAATAATCACTTGAAAAACGTTAACGTTGTTCTTCATTCAATAAAATAAAATAAACGATCTAAAGTAGTAATGATTGAGAATTATTCTTTATTAATTGGAACAATAAAAAAAAAATCGAAAAAATTCAACTCTATTTCCCTATCTCATATCATTTCCCTATATCATTTCCATATATCTCCGCACTGTGAGGAAGAAAGCCAAATTTTATAGGTTGTTATTTTGAAGCGAGTCACAGTATATTCGATGACAGAGGGGAAAATCAGTAAATTTCAAATTTTATAGAAAGTTCAGTGGAATTCCATTTTTTTTATAGTAAGAAGACAAGGATTTTCCAAAGTATTCAAGTTTTAAATCGATATTCTAAAAATGCATAATATCATTCTATTTCACCCTCCACTCGAAATGACACGACTCAATCGGAGCTGAGTTCTAAGCGTTGAGCCACAGCTCAAACTCAAGTGCCGGGTTATGCCGTCTGATGAGCGTTTGACTGTGAGCCGGTATGGAGCGGCGTGTCGCGGCGTGAACTCGGGTCAAGCGGCAAGCCGAGGCTGAGCTCGCGCTCACACGAGTTACGGCTGAATCCCCGGTTGAATTTCTACCCGGGAATGTGCGTACAGTTCAGAGGTCGTGCGTAAAGCGAAGCTCGAAATTCACTTTACGCACGACCTTGAACTTTACGCATACCGTGCACAAAAGCAACCACTTTACCCCCACTACAGTTCCGAACAGTGAACTCGGCAGGTATTACAAAAAAGAGGATGTGTTACGCGTGCGTACGAAAAAGTGGTTCTTTACGCACTTGTAACACAATATACTATACTTTTATTCATAAACGAACACAACATTAATGAAAGTCAATTTACGAGGTTCATGATTGTAAGTGCTACATTTTGAGCGTTTTCAGAAAATATATGAATCTAAATATGATTAAAAAAATAGAAAAGTTTTCTAACATGTTTTATATTTTTTTACCCTAACTCAAACTGCGAATAAGAGTGTCTCTCCAGAACTAAATTTCTCATTCAAATACTGATGAGTAATAATCAATACTGCAAATACAATAAATAATTTATTTATATATCTAATCCACTGTATCTATTGTAAACGAACATGATATTTGCTAGGATATAATACATCCGTAATTGGATGGAATATATATCTGGCATACTCTCAGAAGATAAACAGATGAGAATCTATGCAACGCTACAAATCCCAAATTACGCTGTTCCTTCATCAAAGAAACACTTGATATTGGAAAAAAGGCAAGACGAGAAATTTGAAAAAAAAATTAATCGGACCTCTAGTTTGGGAGATATTGAACAAAACAGTTTTTCCCAAAAAGTTGAATGTCTGCTAAACCACTTGACCGATTTTCGCTACCCAAAATCCTGTCCTGTAATATAATAAGAGCTATAATCTCACCAAATTTTAACATCCTATCTAAATTTTTTCGGGTGTTATCGCGCACGGAACGATTTCCTCGTAAAAACGAAAAATGCCGATTATCCCCAAACTGTCTCTGGTTGCATAGCAATATTGTGATTCGATAGACATTATCACAAGAAATATTTTCACGTAAAAAAAATTCAAATCGGTCACGTACACTGAGAGAAAAATCTGAAGTTCGATTTACAATAAGAAAATACTTGAGGCATTTTGGTGAACGATACGATTTTTTTTGTATGCGGCACATAACATTATAGTAACTTCACAAGCGTAATTTTTGCAAATCAAAATGCAGTTAAACTAACCGAAGTTCAAAAGTAACCACGACAAATCTATCGTCAGCAGAACTATAAAATAGTTGCAATGACTACATTCCATTGTAATAATTACTTCTCCGGCCATAGTTACCGTAACCCATGAAAAATTGTTAAGGAATTTTTGAGTATAATTCGATGGTGATGGAATATAGTCAGAAGAATTATATTTTTCTCTCAGTGTAGTTTTCGAGATATTGAGGAAAAAAAATTTTTGAAAAATTCGCACACACATCCGGTTATGAATATACCCATTTTCTAAAAATATCATATGTTCACGTTTCATGACATTCTACGTCATTTCCAGGTAAAATTACAAGATCGTCAAAATCAACGATTACAAAGCTTCCATTCGGAAGCAATAATTAAATTAAATATTTACAAGTTAAAAACTGACATGAATAACAAATGGAAATACTGCATAGAAAATGCAAACAATTTAATACCAAGCGAAAATAATTTTTCTTTTTATTATCAAATTTTTATCGATGAACATCCACTCCCAATTGAAAAATGTCCAATAATTCACCATATTTATTATAAGTGCGATATACTAAGTATTTTCGCAACACAATAGTGATATAGTTTTTAGAGGGAAATAGTTTTTAAGGTGTTTCCTGCGAAAAAGGTAAATAATGACATTCATCTGGCATTCATATAGAATGTTTATAATCACAATTGAATTATCTATGAATTTTCCTAGAAATTTTGCAGATTTCCTTTTCGTGTTATTAACGATTAAAGTTGCTGCCTACACATGAACTCTTATAGGGATTTTTTTGTTTAGCTTAAAACTACATTATAAGCTCAGACGGTAACGCAGTTTCGTACCAAACAGAAAAATCTCCATAGGAGGCTATATATAAGAAACGACTTCAATCGTTAATAACTTGAAATGGAAATCTGAAAAAATTCTAGGAAAATTCGTAGATAATTCAATTGCGATTATAAATATTCTATATGAATTCCAGATGAATGTCATTATTTACCTTTTGCGCACAAAACACCTTAAGACGTCTCATTTCGACATCTCCTAATAAAACATGGGTATTTCATTTTTCTTTTTAAAACAAAGGTGTCTCAAAATTCGCGTTCAGACCAGGGTATCTCAAAATTCATGTGAAAAATCGTCTGAAATTTCACGTTTTCCTTCTCTTGCCAGCTGTATAAATGGTACGAATACATAAAAAAATACAAATAACATGAAGTAGTTCACATTGGAAGAGAAATAAAATTATTTGCGAGCTCCGTGACTTGCGACTTAGAAATGGATGTGAACAACAAACTTTCACATGAATTTTGAGATACCCTTGTTTTAGTAGAAGATGTCGATTTTCATTCTTGGTAATACAGTGAGTAAAAGTGTCTCTCCAAAACTGAATTGATCATTCAATTACTAAAAAGCGATCGATACTGAAGCTGGAAAATGCTGATTAGTAATAATCAATCAAGAGGAATGGTCCATCAATCTTCTATTTGAATTCTGTTCATCCTGCAAAAAAACCGAACACTAAAAATCTTACATAAATTGCGTTAATGAAAAACGACGGAATCGTTTGGGGAAGCTTATCGTGCCATTATTCAACATCATGCAGCAGTCACATATAGACTGAAACGTTACAAACATTCACCAGTCAACTCCGAGCCACGTACCAGTATATACTACCTTTTGTTCTCAATTTAATCAATAAAAATCGTTTTTCGTTCGCTAACCACCAGCACGACTTCGCTTATCGGAATTACAGTTGAAATAATACCGGATTTACGTGCGGCAGGATTTTATTTGTAAAGTGTTGAATTGAGATTAGGATCTGCCATAATGGCCTCATTGGAGATATTCAAGTGGAGCCCAGGAGAAAAGAGTCGAAACCTTAGTATTAGTAATGAAAAAAACTAGTGAAAAAACAAGTTAAGGGGAGACCGCGGTGAAATTTTAAAGTCTCGGCTCGGCCTTAAGAGCCATTGGATGAGTTTTGATATATGAAGGGAAATATAAAAAAGTGAGAAAAATTTCGGACCCGAACGGTTTTGCCCCGTATACCCACCAAAAACGTAATTTTTCACGTTTTTAGTTTAAAAATGTCCCTCGGACCACAGTTTTGATCCGATTTCAACTTTTTTTTTTTTAATGTTCGCTATACTCCAACGAACAAACCCAAGTATTCGTTTTGCTTTATATTTATTAGCTCATGAGAAAATCTTTTTCTTTAGTTTTCATTTTTTTTCCTCTTTTTAGCAAATGCTAAAATTCGTTGTTTTCCGCCCATTTTTTTTTTGTTATAATATTTCGATTACGTATGATTAGAACGTGGAATAACGAAAAACAACTAATTTTAGCATTTGCTAAAAAGAGAAAAAAAAATAGAAACTAAAAAAATCATTTTCTCGTCATCTGATAAATATAAAGCAAAACGGATACTTGGGTTTGTTCGTTGGAGTATAGCGAACATTAAAAAAAAAAAAGTTGAAATCGGATGAAAACTGTGGTACAAGGGACATTTCTAAGCTAAAAACGTAAAAAACGACGTTTTTGGTGTATATACGGGGCAAAACGGTTCGGGTCCGAAATTTTTCTCACTTTTTTATATATCCCTTCATATATCAAAAGTCGTCCAGTACCTCTTAAGGCCAAGCCGAGACTTTCAAATTTCACCGCGGTCTCCCCTTAATTGATTATTTAATTTTGAAAAGGTGTTATAATTTATGATGACTGGCATGGATTTCAATCAAATATTTTTATGTATGAGAAAACGATGTTTAAAAGAAAAGATAATAAACGCAACGGTTTGAGTACTACTATCTCAGTGCGAGCGTTGGACAGTCTCGATGATCAGAGATGAATTGACTGATACTGAAATGTCTTATCTCCGGCCGAGCCGGACAGTAGTCGCCAGTCCAAAACTCTCCGGGAGACGGTACGACAGTCACTGAATATCATCTGCGAATTGAGAAAAAGAAGAAAAAATTCTCGTCGGTGTTAACACTCGAGGATAGGAGAGGAAGACAGGTACTCTTTATTTGTTTTTATAATTCGCCTGGTCACGTGTTATTGCCAAGTACATCATGCAGTAGTCAATGAACAACCTCGCTCGACATTGGCCGGATGTGACCAACTAGTCGCTTTGATAGACGTCCTTCCATCCAGCAATAACAAGAGTCAATCGGTTTCACTACTCGTGCATGATTATGCTTCTCTTTTTCGTTGGGTAATCATGAACCGTTGTTTTTCATATTTTAATTTGTCGTGAAATCAGTACTTTAGATAATTAAAAAATTCGTCTGAGATGACTTCAGAAGAGAAGAAGTTGAACATTTCCAGTCGAATATCGGAGTTTTCATTCCAACGACGTTTCACGATAGGTTCCCGGACATTTTGCAATGATTTTATTATTCAAACTCTTTGAAGTTTGAATCTAACTTTCCAACTTCAATGGTTACATGTAGATTAGAATGGAAGAAAAGTTATCGTGCTCGCACCATAGACTGGGTTCAAAGGGGTCTGCTAGGGGAAATTTACCGGGACGAGGAAATTACTGTTCTCTCAGTATTTTTTTCTCCAAATTGAACCAATTTTTCACGAACATGTCAGTAAAATTTTCTTTACACTGTCCGTAAAACGTCGTTATGAACATTGTGATGAAAAATTATCTTCATTACTCGGCCAAAAACAACTTTTCTGACACGTGTGATTGCAGACCGAGGCAAAACCGAGGCTTCACAGCAAAAACGAATGTTTGAATTTCATAAACCTGTTGTAGACATTTTTTAGACACTAAAAAACGTTTGAATAACATGAAAATGTGTTTGATTTTCAGACGAACAGATGCCCAAACATCTGTCTGTGGAATTCATGTTTGAAATCCAGACAAATTTTTATTTTAGTCGGACATTTTCTCGTGTCTGAAAAATGTCTGCAAAAGGTGTGTGAAATTCAAACATTAGTTTTTACTGTGTTCGCCTCGGTCGAAAAAAACTTTTCTGGCGAATATGACTTTCGGCCGTGTGACGGACAATATTTTTTGTCAAAACGCTACGCTTCCGTGACCCGAGTGGAAATTCCGGTCAGGTCTTGATCAAGTTTGGATCAGGTTAGACTTGACCACTGATCAGATATTGATCAAGTTGACGGATCCGTGATCAGACATGTTACGCCTCTGACCAATCCGGATTTGATCAGAACGAATGGATCCGAAGCTGATCAAGTCAACTGTATGAAAACCGGCTAACCTGTCTGTCAATATCAATAACAATTATCAATGATAATTAATCCAAAACAAAAGATAATTCAATTCTTTCACCGTAGGCCGCCTCTCTTAATGAATCTCTACTGTTATTACCTCCGAACCGGGGACCCTATGATTACTAATCCTATGCCCTAACCACTACGCTATCGTGCTATTACTATTGAGTAAACTGTACATTGCCTATATGATTTATATCGGGGTATTCCTTGAATTTACGATTATTCTTGATCTCGCGGATGTGCGTGTGCATTCTCAGAGATAAAACATGTTCAATTAAATTTTTATTTATTTCATTAATGAATAATAATAATGATAATAACAATAACACTAATAAATAAATAGGCATTTGGTGATTTTTTTCTCAAGATCATTTGCGTGTAAGTTTGATACTCTTCTAATACATATTTACGGCATCATCATCCATCCCTTCTGTACATTTGAGAAGGGCTGGCTGTTAATTAAATTGATTAATTTAATTAAATTCATTAAATTAAATTAATTCAATTTAATTTATTTTAATTATAGTATAATGATTCTTTTTGAAGATTGAAAATAATTATTGATAATGATTGATAAAACTTAATTTAAATAGTATAATAGTAGTTAATTAAATTATCCGAAAAACTTATCAAAATTAATGTCAGGTGGAGCGGATCTGAATCTGATGATTTTCTCTTCAATTGACCCCTTTCAAATACCGATCAAGGACATCAAATCCGAATTTGATCAAATTGCGGTCAGGCAGCTGACCTCAGGGTAAGATCGTGCCTACCTGATCAGAACTTGATCTGAATTATCCTGCAGTTTTTCGGCTCCGATCTACTGGATTAAAACTTGGTCAGGTTCTCATCAGGCATCATCTGATCATGTCTACCTGATCAGAACTTGATCTGAACCCGCCTGTAGTTTTTGGGATCCGATCTGCTAGATCAGAACTTGGTCAGGTTCTCATCAGGAATCACCGGATCAGTCGAACCTTACAAAAATCTAATCAAGTTCTGATCGTGCTTCAGGTAGGCCTGAAGCAATTTCCACTCGGGGAATCGCTGCTTAGGGCCGAAATGACAAAAAGTTTTTTTCATCACGCTGTGACGAAAAGTGAACTTTTCGGCACGCTCCGCGTGCCTAAAAGTCCAATTTCCGCCACATTGTGATGAAAAATATTGTTCGTAACTCGTGAAAAAATGTTTTTTGCACTTGTTACGAAATATACTATTTCGCCACGGCGGGCGGAAAGGACACATTTAATAACGTTCTCACCACGGGAGGTAAAATAAAGGACCCTTACCCAGGTGTTTACCACCCTCGTCTTCGGTTCGGGTGGTAATTCTGCACGTGGGCACGACTCCTTTATTTTCCCTCCCCTAGCGGGAAATATATACTGTTTCGACCTTGGGTCGAAAATAGTTATTTCCGTGTAGCACGTTAAAAAGAGGAAAACACACGAAACAAGTGGGAAATTGCCAATGTATTGCATATAGTATAGCTTTTTTTGCTAATAAATTCGCAATATACTTCCGAATGGTCATGTTGCATTTTTTTTTCTTCCGTATATGATTTATATTTTACTTTATTTCATTAAATTGAATGTTTCTTTTCAATCAATTGTGACAAATTTTCTCCTCAGTTGAATTTTATAATTATTATTATTCTTGTTATTATTTTCTCTTATAGAACTTTTTATTTATTCATTTTTTTTCATTATTCTTTCATCACTCTCGTTGTTTCTTTGTAGCATTCATTTTATAAGCTACATTTCATGTTTTCATTTCGCTTTTGTATTTTCATTGAATCGTTTTCTAGCTATTACAATTGGCTTCTTTCTAAGCTCAGCATTTAACAGGTTTATCGTTTCCATAAGCCACGTGTAGGTTATGGCTGTCGATTATTATGAATATAGTTAAATGCATTATAATAATCGCAGTTTGATCAATAATATGAAACAAGAATGATTCACTCTTGGAGTGATTGTTTCTTCATATTTCTTCGTTCTTTGATTGTTTTTTTTCCATTGAAGATTCTGCGTGAAGTTGTTCATTATATTGACAGTTCGTTTGTGATTTTCAAATAATCAACGAAAATGTATTTTCCACAATCATGGAAAGGCAACAAACTTTCGAATATCATAAGCGATTCCTGAAATTCTTGTATAAATCAAATGAAAGAATGATACTATTTATATCATAACAAAATTTCAACAGAATATCATTGAAAAAAATGTATTTATTCATAATTGATTGAGTTTGAAATATCACATTTGAAGAAACCATGAAAAAGCTAATTCTCGGGGAAACTGATGAAAAATTTGAAATTTCTGACAGTTATCGTAACCATAGTTCATCTTCCACTTAAGGGCATCAATACAAACATTTCAATCTCCGATACAATTCATTCGAAGTCAGGAATCCAAAGATATCTGCGGAATTCTGATTTAAAAAAAATTAATTTGCAAATTTTCACAAAAATTACAGTAACGATTACTGCTATCGTCTTCATCTTCGAACTCGGTCGAAAGGGCATCTCAACAAATTTTCTAAGCCGTTATTTAATGAATTTGAAACAAATTTTTTTTTAGCTATCGTAAAAAAAGTGATTTTTGAAAAAATTCGAAAATTCAAAAAATGCGTTAATGAATTGAATTTTAAGTAATGGCAGTAGATGGGGCTCAGTAAGACCTACATTTGAGAAAAAAAAAGATTGAATTCCATTGTTGAACTGGCGAATAATTGAAGAAAAAGTTTGTTACATACGTATATATTTACGTACACACGACCGACGCGGTCTAAAAATTGCATTTTCGGACTTTTTGGATCATAATAGGTTGATATAACACAAAAAATCGAAAACTTACATTTGGTCGATTACAATGCTTCCATTCGGAAGCAAAAACTTAATCTAAAAACCAAGCGAATTCGCTAGACAATTCTATTGAATTTCTATTGCGGAAATTTCATAGCAAATATCTCAATAGAATAAGTTCAATAGAAAACCGACGGCCTGGTGCGGTGGGTAAGAGGGTCGCTCCACATACGCGATGTTTCGGGTTCGTTTCCCGGTCGGATAGAATGTTGATGATCCAACCATTCAAAGTTTTGATCAAGCGGCCGCTACAATGGATCTTAATAGTTCTGTAACACAGAAAAACCTAAATATAAATGACGTTTTGCTAAGCGTAATTTACGATTTGCTAAACTTAATTTACGTTTACCATCAATATGATGTCTGGTGGTTTTGTTTCATGTCATGAAAATCGGAATTTAGGTTTCAAAAAGGCGTATTTTATGGTCAAAATAAAAATGTAAGTTACTCCCAAACAAAGCGTCTTTTACTATTTACATATGTGTAATTCACGAAAAGAATGGTATTTTACGCTTGAAATCAGTTTTCTTTTCTTCTTCATAAATTACGGATAAGTAAACATAAAACATAAAAAAGAATAATCGTAATTTACGAGTACGAAAGCGTAAATTACCTTCATATAGTGGTTATTTATGCACACGAAATCATAAATTAATTAAATTAATTAAATCTTAATTTTCGGCGATTTTGAGCGGAATTTAGGAACATGAAATCGTAAATTACGGTCACGTAATCGTCGATGACGGCAATTTTGAACCCAATTTGCGCTTCAACTTCAAGCGTAAAATATGCTTCAGAAAGCGTAAAAGGTGACTCTCTAAACGTACACTGAGAAAAAAAAATTTATTCCCAGGCAATTCACATTAAGTTTTAATTATGATAATTATATTGCTCTAGAAGATGA